GATGCCTGAAAGGACTTTAAAAAGCAACCAAACTCTTCCATGATACACTTAAACAATAAAGTCTATCAATATAAATACCCCAAGAGATAGGACAAAGAACTTTGCAATTAGGGATCTTAATTTTCTCTTGGTTACAGGCGCAACATAAGATCTACAACATAAGAGATGAAACTATAACGGAACTGAAAAGTACATCAGTCAGCAAACCAGAGTCCACTATTGCCCTGTGGCTGAGAGATAAGGGTGATTTTTACTTTTTTTAAAATTTTTACATTTTTAAATGCTTGGGAGTACTTTGTGACATGTGAAAATTATATGAACTCCAGAGCTAGGAAGAAAAGCCACGACAAACCTAGACAGTGTGTTAAAAAGCAGAGACATTAGTTTACCGACAAATGTCCATATATCAAAGCTATGCTTTCTCTAGTAGTCATGTTCAGATGTGATAGTTGGACCACAAAGAAGGCTAAGCACCAAAGAATTGATGCTTTTGGACTGTGGTATTCAAGAAGACTCTTGAGAGTCCCTTGTACAGCAAGGAGATCAAACCAGTCAATCCTAAAGGAAATCAGTCTTGAATATTCACTGGAAGGACTGATGCTGAAGCTGAAGCTCCAATACTTTGGCCACCTGAAACTGAAGCTCCAAAACTTTTCGAAGAACTGACTCACTGGAAAAGACCCTGATGCTGGGAAAGATTGAAGGCAGGAGGAGAAGGGGGCAACAGAGGATGAGATGGTTGGATGGCATCACTGACTCAATGGACATGAGTCTAAGCAAATTCCGGGAGACCATGAAGGACAGGGAAACCTGGCAAGCTGCAGTCCATGGGGTCGCGAAGAGTCAGACATTACTGAGCGACTGAATAACAATTTTAAAAAGAGAAAACCTAGAAATTAAAAAGGTGTTGTTTCATTAGAAAATATTTATCAACTAAAAAAATGAAAGAACTGAAAGCAGCAAAAGGCAGGGTTGCCATGAGGGTACATGCAGGGGGGACCTGGGCCTGAGACCCCAGGTCAGGTGTGAAGGAGACAATGTCAGACCCCAGTCTGTCCGCAGACAGGTGGATGGCTGAGAAACCCCCCCACGGGGCATTCACACTGTACCTCACCAGGACCCAGGGCAGGCCCAGGGTTTCCACAGATTAGAGCCAATGCACCCAAACTCAGAGATCACCAAATACACAAGGCAACAAAAAGGAGTGGGTTTTTTCACCCCAAAAGATGCCACTTTGGTACAAGGATTATTCTGACCTAAAGGCAATCAAAACCCAGCAGGTTCAGGAGCTTCTCCTGAACTTCCCTTCAACTGCTTATGTTTATACTTCGGGGGGTGGGGGGGCCTGGGTCAAAAGAGTGTTTCACCCAAGAAACACCCACACAGCAGGGCAGGTCTCCTCTCCCTCCCAGCAAAGGCCTCCTCTGCCTCCCCACATCCTGACCCACCCTCCACCCACCAGGCCTTACAGAAGCCTCAGCCCCTTGATTCCTTGTGGGCCCCCACTGCTTCACAGGGCTCCCATCACACAGAATAACATTTGTTTTTCTCCTATTAATCTACCTTACATCAGTTTAACTCTCAGATCACCCAAAGAAACTAAAAGCAAAGAAAGGACCATTTCTCCACCCTAGTGATAAACCTCGTGGCTCAGCAGAAATGCAGGAGACGTGGGTTTGATCCCTGGCTCGGGAAGATCCCCTAGAGGAGGAAGTGGCAACTCACTCCAGTGCTCTTGCCTGGAGAATCCCATGGACAGAGGAGCCTGGTGGGTTACAGTCCATGGGGTCGCAGAGTCAGACACAACTTAGTGACTAAACAGCAATAGGGATAAACCACCGCAAAATGTGTTAATATTAATATTTTCATCTTAGCATCTATTACTATTGTGATGTTGTGACATATAATAAGAAAGATGTAGTTGGCGTTCACAGACCTGACACAGAGCTACTAAAACTCCTTGGAATATCCTGTTGGGGGAGCAATAACGTGTCGTATGTTATGTTAATGAGGTGATTTTTGAAAGCACCTCAGGAAAGGGCTGCTTGCTTATGTCACCAATCCAGTAATTTCAGGGCCAGCACTTGAAGTCCTGCCCCTGACCTCAGGAGAGGGAGAGGAGCTGGAGGCTAAGTACAATCACCAGTGATTTAATTAATAGTGTCTAAGTGTCAGAGCCACTGAAAAACCCAAAGAGGGAGTTCAGAGAGCCTCCAGGTTGAACAGGATTGAACAAGATATTCAGGGAGAGGGGACACCAGAGGGCAGGAAAGCTCCCTGCCCACCACATGTCTCCTATGTATTTCTTCATCCTGCTGTTGATTGGAAGTGAAACAGGAGGGAAACACACAACCTTTAAAAGAATGACACAGTCTGAGGACATGATATAAACAGCTAAGAACCAAACCAGACAGGTCCAAGATGGCAGGCAAGTTGACTTCCACTGGACCTTGAGCCTCAGTGTGTGAAAGTGAGTCACTCAGTTGTGTCCACCTCTTTGCAACCCCATGAACTATACAGTCCATGGAATTCTCCTGGCCAGAATACTGGAGTGGGTAGCCTTTCCCTTTTCCAGGGGATCTTCCCAACCCAGGGATTGAACCCAGGTCTCTCACATTGCAGGCAATCGCTCTAACACATCAGCATGCTAAGTGACACACTCCCAGGTGCCATGACAGTCCCCATCCCATCCCCAAAAGAGCTGGAATACTCCTCCCACTCATCAGCCTATGAAATTACCCACCCCTATAAAATAAGTAAGATGTTGCTGTAGTAAAGAATCTGCCTGCAATGCAGGAGACCAGAGTTTGATCTGTCTGGATCCCTGGAGAAGGAATGGCAACTGGTTCCAGTATTCTTGCCTGGAGAATTCCACAGACAGGGAAGCCTGGCGGGCTACAGACTGTGGGGTTGCAAAGAGTCGGACACGACTGAGCACATGAAAGTAAAAACCCTCTACCCTGGGGTGGCTCTCACCTTCTGAGATGGTCCCCACTCTATCTGTGAAGTGTGTTTCTCTCTAAATAAATCCACTTCCCTATCACTTTGTCTCTCACTGAATTCTCAATGAGACATAAAGAACCTGAGCTTCTTAAGTCTCGAGACCAGGTGTGTGATCTCAGTTAAAAGACCATGGGTTCAAGTCCCAAGCTTGAGCTGCTTGGTTGCAGTAACCCTAATTCCATTTGTAATAAACCAGGAATCCACTGAGTAACTGGTCTCCTGAGTCTGGGAGCCACTCTAGCCAGTAAAGCAAACCCAAGAAGGGATGGTAGGAACCACAGCCAGTAGGCAACTGGACTGAGCTGGAGTCTGAAGTGTCAGCGGCAGGGCAGCCCTGTGGGGTGGAGATCCCCACCTGTCAGACATGATGCTGTCTCAGGGCTGAGCTGAGTTGCAAGACACACACTGGGGTCAGAGAACAGCTTGGTTTGGGAAGGCCCACACATCAGGAGTGGAGACCAGAATCGCAACTTTTAAACATGTGGGTTGAGAATCTTTTGTAAAGAGCCACATTGTAGTATCTTAGGCTTTGTGGCCACATGAGGTCTTGCCTTGTGGGGGTCACTATGAGAATTCATATGGCAGGATCACCAGGCTGAACTTGTCCTGTTGGGAAGGACTAGCTTTGTCTTGTTCATCCACGTGTCCCTGGTGAGTAGCACGTGCCTGGAAACAGAGGTCTGTGTGCCAAGTCCCCCTCCTTCCCTAATGGCACAGAACAAAGCATTGGGGAGTGTTTAGCTTTATGGTGGTTGTTTCATTTTTTGCTTTTTGTTTCTTTCAATTGATGTTTCATCTGTTGTTGTTCAGTTGCTCAGTTGTGTCTGCCTCTTCACAACCCCATGGACAGTAGCACACCAGGCTTTCCTGCCCTTGACTATCTCCCAGAGTTTGCTCAAACTCCTGTCCATTGTGTTGGTGATGCCATCCAACCATCCCATCCTCTGTTGTCCCCTTCTCCTCCTGCCTTAAATCTTTCCCAGCATCAGGGTCTTTCCAGTAAGTTGGCTCTTCACATCAGATGGCCAAGGTATTGGAGCTTTAGCTTCCGAATCAGTCCTTCCAATGAATATTCAGGACTGATTTCCTTTAGGATTGACAGGTTTGATCTCCTTGCCGTCCAAGGGACCTTCAGAAGTTTCCAGCATTACAGTTCGAAAGCTGTTTCACCTAGTCACCAGCTACCTGTTACTCTATGTAAGAAGCAACTTTACTTCTCTGGGTTTTGGGTTCTTATCTGCTATACAACAAAGTTGACCTAAGGTATGTAATTTCTTGAGGCCTAGAGCCTGACATCATGCCCTATATATTTGTCTTCTCAAAGAGCCAATGATAAAGCATCTTCTGTTACACAAAATGCACATTCAAATTAATGCTCATGGCTATGCCCCCAACCAGGAGAGTAACTACCTGACAAGCCTGAGATGATCAGAGCCGTGATCAGTAATGGCATCATAGGGGGGCAACCCATGAATTAATTTGTCCTTCTGTCTTTGGCCTCCCTGTCTCCGCCTTTTTCCTTTCGTTCCTATTCTTTTTCTTCCTGAGGTGGTCCCTAAAATGCTACCCTCCGTGGGCTCAATGCTCAGCATCTGCTAGGTTTGCATACTCTCACACCTCAAACAACACTCGTCCCAGTTAATTCCAGTCCTGCCATGCAGAGCAACAGGTAAGAACACACCTGAGGCCCTCAGGACCTCTGTGCCCACGGGGGAGGGCCAGTGCAGCTCCCGGGCATGTGGCACAGAACCGTTCACCAGCTCTTGGGCTGCAAGTCGAGGGTCTACACTGGGTTCCTCCAGCTCCCTCGCACATCTCTACCCCCGGAAGTCTGTCCTCACAGTCTGAGCCCCTGATGTGGGGTGGATCCACGTCTCACTCAGCCTGGCTTCACCGGCTCTGAGACTGTGACCCCACAGGAGAAGGAGGACTCCAGCTTCAAGGGCTTGAATAGATAGGCTGAGGCCGCAGGGCCTCTGCATGTGCAGGGGACTCACCTGAGGCTGACCAGCGCATCGGTCACCTGCCGAGGCTCGATGTCGAACAGTTTGACCCTGAAGCCCGCGCTGGCGAACAGCATGGCCCAGCTCCGCCCGATGAGCCCGCTGTATGGAGAGAAGGAAGAGGCGCAGGTCAGCTGGAAAGTGGAGCCACTCCGCGCCAGCCCAGGGTGCGTCTCAGAGCACACAGCATCCTGTTACTGAAACACCTGATGGCTTACAACTCCACGTTTTGACAGCAGTACCCACTTAAAATGTTGCTTCCACACAAGAGGTCCTGGGTCTTCACTGCAGTGCCCTCCAAACCTGGGGGCAGCTTGGAGGGGCAGGGTGTCCACGCACCATGCCAGGGACTCCCAACAGACCAGTGTCAGCTGAGTCCTGGACTGGAGAAAAAAGGCAGCATCTCCCCCGCTGGCTCAGTTTTTCCTACCGCCACCAGCACTAAAGATGATGATGTTAAAACTGTACACATCTTACCTCTATTAATCTGAAAACAACCCCACAAGGGAGATGCTAAATTTTTTGTATATATTTATTTATGTACTTGACTGCACCAGGTATTAGTTGAGGCATGGAGAATCCAGTTCCCTAACCAAGAATGGAACCTGGGCCCCTGTATTGGTTTGTTGAAATCCAATAATGAAATACAAAAACTTAACCAGGTTTCAGCAGTTAGTTCACACTCCCCAGCAACCTATAGGGTTGAGAGAGAGAAAGACAAGAGATAAGGAGGGGAGACAGGAGAGAGAAAGGCGCCAGAGGGGACAGGAGGGGAGAGGGAGGAAGGAGGGAGAAGGGAAGGGAAGCTGGGCTACCCCAAAAGTGAAGATGGCTGCTTCCTGAGGTATTAAAGCTGTGGGAAGGTCAGTCAGTCAGTTCAGTCGCTCAGTCGTGTCCGACTCTTTGCCACCCTAGGGACTGCAGCAGGCCAGGCCTCCCTGTCCATCACCAACTCCAAGACCTTACTCAAACTCATGTCCATCGAGTAGGTGATGCCATCCAACCATCTCATCCTCTGTCGGCCCCTTCTCCTCCTGCCTTCAATCTTTCCCAGCACCAGGGTCTTTGCCAGTGAGTCAGTTCTTTGCATCAGGTGGCCAAAGTATTGGAGTTTCAGCTTCAACATCAGTCCTTCCAATGAATATTCAGGACTGATTTCCTTTAGGTTGGACTGGTTGGATCTCCTTGCAGTCCAAGAGACTCTCAAGAGTCTTCTCCAACACCACAGTTCAAAAGCATCAATTCTTTGGCACTCAGCTTTCTTTATAGTCCAACTCTCACATCCATACATGACTACTGGAAAAACCATAGCTTTGACTAAATGGACCTTTGTTGGCAGAGTAATGTCTCTGCTTTTTAATATGCTGTCTAGGTTGGTCATAGCTTTTCTTCCAAGTAGAAAGCGTCTTTAATTTCATGGCTGCAATCACCATCTTCAGTGATTTTGGAGACCAAAAAAATAAAGTCTGTCACTGTTTCCATTGTTTCTCCATCTATTTGCCATGAAGTGATGGGACCAGATGCCATGATCTTAGTTTTTTGAATGTTGAGTTTTAAGCCAACTTTTTTACTCTCCTTCACTTTCATCAAGAGGATCTTTAGTTCCTCTTCACTTTCTGCAATTTCTTGCAGTCAATCCACTTAATTCCTTGTCAGCCTCCCCTGGGGAATTGGAAATAAAGTGACTCCCAAAGCACAGCTCCTTTGCACAACAATTAGAGCTGGAGAAGGGCACAGTGGACCCTGGAACAACAGGAGCTAGACTCCCCAGGGCCCACCTATAAGCAAGCTTTTTAAAATGGTAAATCCTACAAAACTTGGGATCTGCCATTGGGTATCACTGATGCAGAGGAACCGACGGTAAATTACACTGGCTTCTCTGGTGGGAATGGACAGGTGGGTGCCCTCCACCTGCCAGTGGTCCAAGGGTCCCCTGTACCATCAACTCTAGACTCCACCGAACACTGTTGGGTGCAGCAGCAGGCCAGTCCCAGCCCGTGGTTGACACACACTTGACCGTGACAAAGGCTGCAAGGCAAGCACGGTCACCACGCCTAGGACAAAGTGCACTTTCTTCTATATTGTATATCCCAGCAGGAGGCAGCGGGTCGCCCTCCTGCCTGGAAAGCACACAGGCACAGGTAAGGCCATTGCTCCCTGCCAAGGAAGGTGACAAGGCACCCTGACCCCTTCCTCGAAGGGGCTTCAGGAGGGGCCCCGGACACGACTTATTCTCAGGACGGCGATTGTGACTGGTCAGGCGGGCCAGCCCCTCGGCGGCATAACCCGACACCGAGCCTCCTAGGAGGTGTGCTTGATGACCAACAAGTATCGACAAGTGGGTAGTTCGCTATGCCAGCTTACCAACGCAAAGGTGCACGTGGACGCCTTCTTTAAAAAATGAAAACTGCAGGAGTTTTAAAAGAGGATGGAGCATCAACCAGGAAACCGTGGATGGGACTTGAGCTGCTAACCCGACACCCAAGCCTCGGAGAACCCGGATGCCCTGGGGATAGGGTGCCCTCGCCATTCAGGAGGCCTGGATCCGGATCCGGACCGCGCGGTGGGTCCCCACCCCTCCCCGGCCAGGCGGGGTCGCCCAGCGACAGCCACAGGCCCGAGCGCGCGCCTCGCCTGACCCAGATCGCGGCTCCGCAGCCCCTCTGCGCGCCCGTCCCTCGGACGGGAAAGGAGACAACACACCTGTGCGGACCCGCGGCCCGCGACAGCCCTGCGTCCGCTCGTAGCGCCAAAAGCCACCGTCCCCGCCCGGCCTGCATCACCCAACTCCGCCCGTAACCGCATAGCCCAGCAGCCGGGCTGCCGCGGGGGCCCCACGGAGCTGCGCCCCCCGCCGTCGCCCCGGCCGGCCCGGTCCTAGGGAGGCGCGCTGGGGTCATTGGAGCCGCGCCGCCAGCCTCCCCTCGCCGCCCGGGCAACGACGCCCGGGCCCACCTGCCACCCTCCCGGGCACGCGGGTTCGAGCCCTCACCTGCCGACCACCGCCACCCCGCCGGGCGCCGAGGACACTGGGGACGCCATGGCCCGCGCGGTGCCCGAGGAGACAGCTGCGGCGCGCGCCACTCGGGCACTGGCTCCGCCCGCCCCGCGGCCGCGAAAGGGCCCCGGGGCTTGGCCCGTGGGTGGGGCGCGGGCGGAGCCTCCACCTCTCCACGCCCCGCGGGCGCGCAGGGCTCCGGGCGGGGCTAGAGGGGCTAGTGGGGCTGTGGGCGGGGCGGGCAGGGAGCCCGGGACTTGGGGGGTGGGGGGAGCGGCTTGGACCTTCGGGCGTGCGGAGCAATCGCCTCCCTCTCCCCGGAGCGCGCACGGAGGAGGTGCCGGGAGCGTCACGTGGATGGGGGCTGGGTGGGAGAGCCACCCCTTCGGACTCTAGTGACTCACTTTGTTTTGGTCAGTTCCCTACTGAACCCCCAAAGTCCGTGCACAAGGAGGGGGACACCTCCAGACCACGACAAGGTGCGACCGCTAAAGGAACCCCCAAACTTATCCCTGGAATTCCCTTCCCATGTGAAGATTTAGCACCACGTCCGGGCGCACGAGTTAAGGATCCACTGCTGGGTTCACATTGTCGTCGGTTTCGAGGAAGACCCGCCTTTCTCCACAGAGGAGGCCGAGGCCCGGCAGCCCTGAGACGGCAGACAGGAGGGCTGGGGCGTGGGAGGGGGTGTCCACCACACTGGAAGGCTCGGAGGCCCCTCACGGAGGCCGAGCTGGTCTCTTTTCCAGGAGGAGGAAGTGTCCCCGCGCCGCCCCGGGCTCTTTTCGGAAACAGCGGAGGAACAAGCGCACGTGCCCGTGACCACGCGTCCGCGCAGCCCCAGAGGTGGGGCCACGCCAGCCAGCCAGGTCAAGGCAGCGCTCCAGCGGAAACGCAGGGCCCTTCCTCTGTCTTCCCCAGCCCAGACGGAAAGAGGAATGTCAGAGCCTAGAGCAGTTTCACAAGGTATTGGTCAGCATTTGAAAAGGCCCTCAACTCAAGAGAAAAGTGACACAGCAAAGATGTCCCCAAGATAAGGCTTTAAATGTTGAAATAACTATGCGTGGGGGCTTAGTTGCTCAGTCCTGTCCGCCTCTTTGCGACCCCATGGACTGTAGCCCACCAGCCTCCTCTGTCCATGGGATTCTCCATACTGCAATGGAGAATATAGAAGACTGGAGTGGGTTTCCATTTCCTTCTCCAAGGGATCTTCCCCACCCATGGATCCAACCCACGTCTCCTGCATCGCAGGCAGATTCTTTACCAGCTGAGCCACCAGGGAAGCCCTCACATAGCTATTTGGATTTATAATGAAGCCCCAGCTCCTGTGCTGCCTTCACCACAAATTACCCGAAAATTTGTCTTCTTTTAAGTAGCCAAGCCCCAATTCCTCTCTCAAGCTGTGACTACTCAACCGGGTGATGGGTGACTGCTCTTTTCCTAAAGCATCTGAACTTCCTGCAAGCACCTTTTGGTCCACTGAGTCATTCATTCACTCAAGTTTCTACCATAAAAGCCACTGTATTAGGGTCAGCTTAATGTTTAGGCTTCAATTAAATTGTAAGCTTAAGGTTAAGAACCATACCTCTTTTTCTCCTTACGAAGCACATACTCTTTTTTCTTTTTAATATGTATTTATTTATTTGGCTGTGTCAGGTCTTAGTTGCATCATGCGGGATCTTCATTGCGGGGCACAGACTCTCTGGTTGTGGCATGCAGGCTCAGTAGTTGGCCCCCATCACCACCACGTTCTCCTTGCTTTGCCCCCTAATGAAATGTGTCTGCTACAAACTCCAGCTGTGTGGAATTGTTTGGCCTCACTTGCCTTCAGTAATACAGGGAGGGCAGATGGGCCTGGGGGGTGGGGGGAGCCCCACTGCTCCTAGGGGGTCCTCCTACTCCGCAGCTACAGAGCACCCTGTCTCCCGCACTTGGGCCATGTTGGACTGCAACATAACAGCCATCTCCTGGCTTCTATTCAATCTGTGACTTTTTCCTGGCTCCTTAGATTCCCCAGCAGGAGTCAAATCAGTTCAGTTCAGTTCAGTCGCTCAGTCGTGTTCAACTCTTTGCAACCCCATGCCAGGCCAGGCCTCCCAGTAGCATGCCAGGCCTCCCAGTCCATCACCAACTACTGGAGTTTACTCAAACTCATGTTTATCACGTCATGGGGGATGCCACCCAGCCATCTTATCCTCTGTCACCCCCTTCTCCTCCTGCCTTCAATCTTTCCCAGCATCAGGGTCTTTCCCAGTGAGTCATCTCTTCACATTAGGTGGCCAAAGTACTGGAGTTTCAGCTTCAACATCAGTCCTTCCAATGAATATTCAGGACTGATTTCCTTTAGGATGGACTGGTTGGATCTCCTTGCAGTCCAAGGCACTCAAGAGTCTTCTCCAACACCACAGTTCAAAAGGAGTCAAATACTCATCCTCTATCTCCCAACCCTCAGTTCTCTGAGTGGTCTCTTTCGGTCCACTTTTCCCTCTGTCCACCCACAGTCCTCGTGGCAGGTAGAAGAGCATGGATGGCTTCTCACCCCTACCCCCACCATCCCTCCTCTGCCTCCTTTGAGTCCAGCTCCCATCCTTTACCCCAAGGCTAGTTAGGGAACCAAAGTTCTAAACTCTCCTGACAGCTTACTCTGGAAAAAGTGATCTGTGGTGAGGATTAGCGTTAGTTAGCAATTCACCTTTACAGATCTGATGTCTGATGTCTTAGAGTACTGACTGTAATCCCAACGTAACATCTTGCTATGAAGACCACAGTTACAGGTCAGCATCAGAAAGGCTCAGTGGTACCATGGTCAGCAATGGGGGCTCCAGAATTGGCCTGCAAGGGCTTCCATCTCAGATTCTCCATCCCATACTGTGTGATCTGGACCAGTTAATTCATTCCTCAAAACTTAATTTCTTTTTCTTTTTTTTTGCCACACTGTGTGGCTTGTGGGATATTGCTTCTCTGACCAGGGGTTGAACCTGTGCCCTCGGCAGTGAGAACATAGAGTTCTATGTTCAGACCACTGGACTACCAGGGAAATCCAAAACTTGGTTTCTTCCCTAGTAGAATGGGCACAATAAGAGCTCCCCTCTGAAGGTGGTTACTGTATTCATTGATGTAATGCCTTGTGAAACACAGTCAGTGCCAGCTGACATGTGTCCACACAGTTCTCCATGGCAGGTCTGCTGTGTGCTTTCCCCATGGCCCTCGGAGCCTCCTTGCAGAGCTGGGACATCATTCTACCCTCACCCCGACTGAGCACCCGGGATTCCCAGAGGCTGAAGGAGATACTGAGAATCTTGGATCAGAACTTTTCTTTCCAGTTAAGCTGCCCTGAGTTTTATATTTATCCTAAGATTGAACAATGTTTCTCAAAAGATTTGAAATTTGAATTTCAACTCTGAATTTATAACCTCAGGAACAGTCTTCAGGAACATCCAAAGGAATTGCAAGAGCCTAGCAAAAAAAGTACCTCAAAATTAAAGATTCCCCTCTATTTCCATAAATCACGTTTATACCCATGGTCCCACGAGGCCTAGAAAAGCTTAAACTATGCTATGTTATCCATACTGTATAGCACATGTAATATATTGAAACTGTTATTTTAACAAGGAGTCAGCATTTTAGAAGCTAGAATTTCAAAATATACCCTAGATAATTCTTTTTCCTTTTCTCTACCTGTTAAACTGCATTAGTTCATTTTCACCAATAATAGAGGGCTGACTTTATACATGACCTAGAGCAAGTAATGAGCCATTTCACACCTTTGTGTAAGTGAGAAAAAGGTGCTTCCTCCTCAGGACACTATAATCCCATCTGCTTAAAACTGCTGTGCTATATTGATTTTTTAGAATAAGATTATTTTATTGCCATCTCCTGGGAAATCATTTTTATTTTTATTATATTTCCTGCTTATTTAACTTATATACAGAGGACATCATGAGAAATGCTGGGCTGGATGAAGCACAAGCTGGAATCAAGATTGCTAGGAGAAATATTGACAACCTCAGATATGCAGATGATACCACCCTTATGGCAGAAAGTGAAGAACTGAAGAGCCTCTTGATGAAAGTGAAAGAGGAGAGTGAAAAATTTGGCTTAAAGCTCAACATTAAGAAAACTAAGATCATGGCATCTTGTCCCATCACTTCATGACAAATAGATGGGGAAACAGTGGAAACAATGGCTGACTTTATTTTGGGGGGCTCCAAAATCACTGCAGATGGTGACTGCAGCCATGAAATTAAAAGACGCTTACTCCTTGGAAGGAAAGTTATGAACAACCTAGACAGCATATTGAAAAGCAGAGACATTACTTTGTCAACAAAGGTCCATCTAGTCAAGGCTATGGTTTTTCCAGTAGTCATGTATGGATGTGAGAGTTGGACTATGAAGAAAGCTGAGCACCAAAGAATTGATGCTTTTGAACTGTGGTGTTGGAGAAGACTCTTAAGGGTCCCTAGGACTGCAAGGAGATCCAGCCAGTCCATCCTAAAGGAAATCAGTCCTGGGTGTTCATTGGAAGGACTGACATTGAAGCTGAAACTCCAATACTTTGGCCACCTAATGTGAAGAGCTGACTCTTTTGAAAAGACCCTGATGCTGGGAAAGATTGAGGGCGGGAAGAGAAGGGGCCGACAGAGGATGAGATGGTTGGATGCCATCACTGACTCAATGGATATGAGTTTGGGTAAACTCCGGGAGCTGGTGACGGACAGAGAGGCCTGGTGTGCTGTGGTTCATGGGGTCACAAAGAGTCAGACACGACTGAGCAACTGAACTGAACTGACTGAACTGATAAGCACCAAATCTATGATACCCAATATATGATGTATCCCCCTCTTGTGCAGTGCCCAACCTGTACAATCATATGTGACAGAGGCTGTGAGGAGTAAAACATTGCCTAGGGAAATTCATGTGCTTGAATGTAGCTCTGGAGGGATTGTAACTCCTTGTCAGAAAGGTAGGATTTCATAACCATTATAATCACTATGACTTGTTTCCAAATGATTTCTGAGTTTACCCAGAGAAGATGTCATTCAAG